CCCACACCCCCCCCCCTAACACCCCTTAACCCATCCCCACCATCATTACCCCACCCCCCCCCCCACCCCAACCCCTCCATTATTTACCATTCCCTAACCTCTCTCCTACATCCCCCACCCCCCAATAACCCACCATACCAACACACCCCCCATAAACCCCTATATTTAATATACTCCAATCACCAACATCACCCCCAACATAAATTTAAACCCCAACCTCTCTAACATAAAATAATTCAACCTCCACTCCGCCTCATCTACTTTCCCACACTACCACCCCAACCCCCCACACACACCCCACCCACCCCCCCCTCCATCTAACACCCAAATTCTCCTTATAATTACAACCAATACTCCTATATCCCCCCTATCTCACCCCCCCATTAAACAAATATCACACAACCACCACAACCCCCACCCCATAACAAACCCCACCCATCATCCCTAAACATAACACACCAAACCCCCTATTACCATCATACCCCCCACCCCCCAACATACACACCCCCCCCCCCCTCCACCCCACCCCTCCCCCCCACTACATACTCCCCCACCCCCACACCATCCCCTCCCCCTCCCCCAATCCTAACCCCCTATTCATCCCCCCAAAATTCCCTCCTCCTAACAACACTCATCCCAACCCCCCCCCCCCCACCTTCACCACCCATCCCCCCCCCATCTTTCCATCTCCTCCCACTTCCCCCATCCCCAAACCCCCTATCTTCCTATCTACACTCACCCACACCTACTACATCCACTCCATCCCTCACCCCTCCCATCCTACCACCATTCCCAAATATAAAAACTCTACTTTAAAACCAAAACCTAAACCTCACACCCCCCCAACCCCCACATACCCCACCACCCCCACCCCCCCACCACAATCCCACCATATCAATATACATCCACCCCAACCCTATCCATTTTAACAACATAAATTCAAAAACATATAACCCCCCCCACCACCCTACCCCAACAACATACACACATTCACCCCCCACCCCAAATAAAACCATTACCCCACCAAAACACACCAACCACCCCACACATCACCCCACCACCCACCAACCCTTACCACCAACAAATTAAACCCACCCCCATTCCCCCACAAATACCACCCCCATATCAAACTTACACAAACCCTACCCACCTCCCACCATCTAAATCCCACCCCCACACCCCAACTCACTTCATACAAACACCACTCCAATAACTATCTCTAAACATCCACAATCTTATTATCTCCCTCCACACCCCCTACTCACCCACTACCCTACTCCTACCACCCCTCACTTCATCCCAACATCCCCCCCCACACCTCTACCCTCCCCCCCCCCCCCCCCCACAACCATACCTCTACTTCCCCCACCAATCCCCCCCCTACCACCCCCCCCCCCCCAAACCCCCTCCACCCCTCCAATCTCCCTCACAACCCCCTACCCCTTATCATATTTACCCCCATCACCCACACCTCATTATAAATACCCCCCCCCCCCTATACTTCCACCCCCCTCTCATTCTTCTCTCATCACCATACCCCACAACCCCACATCCCCCCTCCACCCCACACATTCCAACCCATAAACCCAACCCCGCTCCCACCCCCCCACACCCTCTCCCCCCCCCCCCCCCCATCCCCCCTCTCATCCTCTCATCTCACCATCAAATACTACCCTTTATCACATACCCTAAAAAAACCATCCCATACCCTCCCCCCACCTAAATCTTCTCCTCCTTAACCATCTCCCCCCCCCACCCCCACCTAAACCCCCCCCAACCCCACCCACACTCCCCCCTACATACATACTCTTCTCTCTCCCCTCCCTCTCTCCTCCCCCCATCTCTCCCCCCCACTTCTCATCTACTCTCATACCCCCTACTTTCACTACTACACTCCTCTCCTCAACCCTCACATTCCTCCCCCACTCTCACCTCTCTCTCCCCCCTCTCTCCCCATACTCTTCCCTTCCCCCCACCTCCTCTCTCTTCCCCCCCTCTTCTCAACAATCCCACTACTCACTACATCTCTCTCTCACTCTACTACCACCTCCCTTATTCTCACCCCCTCTACTATACCAATCCTCTTCACTAACTCCTCTTCATCATTACTACCTCTCTCCCTCCCCCCCCTTCTTCTCTCTCACTCTACTTCTCCCCCAATCTCCCACCCCTCTCTCCTCTCTCATCTCTCTCCTCAACCACTCTCATCACTCTCCCACCTCTCTCCATCCTCCATCACATCCCCCCACACTCATCTCCCCCCCCATCTCATCCACATCTCTCACACATCCCCCTACTCTCTTCTCTCTCCCCTTCATCTCTCTACACACTCACCATCACCCTCCCCACCCCCCCCATAAATCACCACCCCCCACCCCACCAACCACCCCCCCACACCCCTCACATACACCCCAGCCCCATACCCACAAACCCCACCAATCCCACAACCTAAATACTAACAACTCCATATCCCATCCTCAAACACACACCCTTATCCACCCCCCCCCTACCCACTCCCCCCCACCAAATATTCCCCCCTACATCCCCCCCCCTCAATATTTCCAAACCCCCTATCCCCCCCCACCCTATCTCTAAATCCCCCCCAACCCTCACCTCCTCCCCTTCAATATTCATCTTTCTCCCTTTACCACACTACCCTCCCTACCCACATACAACCCCCCAACTTACTCCACCTCCCCCCCCCAAAACCCCCCAACCTTCCATATCATCCACCCCCCCAACATTAACCCCCCCACACAAACACCCCACCCCCTATATCCCCTCTCTCTCCCCACACCACACAAAACCACACCCCTAACAAATAATAATACTCTCTCACAACACAAAACGAACACACACCCACCCCCCTAAAACCCCCCCTACCCCCCAAAATTACACCCCCCCACCATCCCATTCCTCCCTCTTCTTACACCTCCACACTCACTATCCCCCCCCCCCAAAAACACCCCCCCACCAACCTTCCACTACCCCCCCCCCCTCCAACACCCCTACTCAATCATCCTTTACCCCCCTCTAACAATTACTTAATATCAACCCCTATATTAAAACAACACAAAAACCCCCCCAACAACCACAAACCTCTATCATAAAATCAACCATCACCTCCCACAAATCTCCTACCCCCACCCCCCTTCCCACCCCCTCACTATCCAAACCCACATACCCCCCCCCTCCCCCCACTCACACAACTACACCAAACACCCCCCCCCTCCCACACTCTCAACACCAACCAATCCCCCCCCCATCAAAACCAAAACCTAAACCACATTACACCCACCACCCAATCACACACCCAAAATTAAACCACACCATAACCCAACCACCCCCACCACTAACACACCCAAATAAACCAATTCCAACCAAACACCCCCCACATACCAACCACAACCCCCCAAATACCCACAAACCCACAACACAATCCCCACACCACACCACCCATATACACCACCCAATACCCACCCCCCCACTATCAACAACAACACACCATAAACCACACCCACTACCCAAAACACACATTCCACAATATATCAACACCCTAACACAAACTACCACACAAACCACCAACCCAAAATACACCACACACCATCCCCAACACTTACACAAACACAACTAACACAAATTACAACACCCACACACCAATTAAAACAATTCCACACAAAAAACAACAACTACATCCCCAAACAAAACCCCCCCTTACCCACATAACCAACCAACAAATACAACTTCCACCCCATTCCACCCCCTAACAACATCCCCACCTCAACCCTCAAAAACAAACCCAAACATCCCACAATCAATAACCCAACACAACATACCCCCACCACCACCCCTCACATCTATCACCCCCCCCCCCAATCCCCCCCCAAACCCTCTATTTCCCACCCCACCCCACCCACCACAACAATAAAAACCCCTCTAACATAATCTATAAACCCAATATACACCACATCCATCCCCAATTCCTCCCCCCACCTCATCTACTCTCTCTAAACTCTAAACCCTCAACCCACACCCCCCCATATTTAATCCCATATCCCCCCCCCCCCCTCTCTCTTATTCTTCCCCACCTTCCCAACCATCCCCCTAACTATTCTTCTTAATCCATTTATCTCATCTCATATACTTTCAAACTCACATACCAACAATCCAATCAACAACCCCCTATACCCCCCTTCCAAAAACTCACCCCTTACAACCTCATATTCTACCCATCCACCTCAAACCCCCCCCCACCTTCCTCCCCCCCCCCCCCCTACCCCAACACCAACCAACAACCCCCCTACCCAACCACACCACCCACATAAACTTACTTCCCCTACACCGTATCTCCACCTCTCCCATCCCTCTCCCTCTCTCTCCCCTCTTCCCCTCACTTTCCCCTCTCATCTCTCCCTCCCTCTCCTTTCCTCCACTCTCTTCTCTCCTCTCTCTCTCTCATTCCCCTTTCTTTTCCTCTCTCTTATCCCCCTCTCTCTTCTCTCTTTCCTCTTTTTCTCTTTTCCCTCTCTCTGTCCCATCTCTCTTTCCCCCCCTCTCCCCCCCCATCCCCCCTCCATACCAACCCCCTATCCTTCCTCCCTCCCTACACCTATCCTTCCTTCAACCCCCCCTACAAAAACCATCACCCCCCACACTAACAACTTACTCCACCATTACCTCAACCCCTCCCCCCCCCCAACCCACCCCCCCCCACTAACTCCAACAACAACTATACTAATACCCCATACCACAACCCTCCAACACATACACCCAATCCAAACAACCCCAATTCCTACCCCCAAAACCACCACCCCAACCCTTCCCTCCTCACTACCCCCATATACCCACTATCCCATTTCCCATACCTCACAACCCCAACTACACACCCCCCCTCCATCCCCCCCTCCCCACACCCCATTACCCCACACCCCCACACTTAAACTTTACCCACCACAACCACCCCCCACCATACACCATCAACCCCCCCTACCCCACTCCCCTCAAACCACACACCCCCCACCCCCCCCAATCCCCCCCAACACCCCCCCCCCAATACTCAAAAACACCCTACAACCCCCCACACCCCCCCCCATATACACCCCCTCCCACCCCCCCAACCACATCCCCCCCCCCCCCCCCCACCCCCCCCACACCCCCCCCCCAAATATCCACCCACACTCAACCCACACCCCACCTACACACCCATCCCCCCCCACCCAACACATACACCCCCCCCCCCCCCCCCCCCCATCAATACCACCCTACTCCACCCAACCACCCACTCCCCCCACCCCCCCAACCCCCCCCCCACCCTCAACACATCCCCTAACCACCCCTAATAAACTCATCCAATCCCCTACACCCCCATAATTCCCCCCCCCCAATACCCCCCCTATATAACCCTTCCCAAAAAAACATCCCCCCCAACCTAATCCCACCCCAAATCACCCCCCCAAACAAAACTACCCCCCCCCCATCCTACCACCCCCCTACCCCCCCCTACATTATCCCCCCTATCCCCCCCCCCCCCCCCCCCCAAACTCTTCACCCACCACCCCTATATCCCCATAAATCATCAACACCCTCCACCCCCCCTACCCATCCCTATCCCTACCCCACCCAACCCTCAATACCCCCAAATACACCCCCACCAACCCCCCAAACCCCCCCACAACCACCACATTACAACCCCCTACCCTTCCCCCATACCCCCCCACCCACAATCATAAACACACTATCCCCCACACCCACTTAACCAAACCCCCACACAAATCCCCCCTAACAAATTAAACCCCCCCCAAACCCATCTTACACCACCCACATACCCCACACAATTACACAAATTACACACCAAACCACACCACCATCTCCCCACAATACACACACCCTTCCCCCACCCAAACCACACTTAACCAAAACACAATCAACACCCCCCCCAACATCCACTACCCAAACCCCCCCCCCCCCCCCCAAAACACAATCAACCCACCCCACCAAAAAACAACACCCCCCACCCAAAACCCCTAAATCAAAACCACCACCCCCCAACACAACTATCCCAAATTCCAAATTCCCCAACCCCCCCACCACCCTAACATCCTCATACTCCCTCTACCCATCCCTCCCAACCCACACCTCATAACCCCACCCCCCCCACCACCTATATATTTTACCCATTATTCCCAAACAATTCTTATTCCTATCTCAATACTCCTTCCAATCCTTTCCACCTATACCCAAATCTTCCATATCATCAACCCCCCCCTATATCCTATTCCCTTCCTTACCCACCCACACTAACTCCCAATCCCCCCCCCCCCCTACATCCCTCCCTTTCCCTTCCCCCCTTCCCCACACCCCCCCCCATCAAAATCCACACCACACCCACCCCACACCAACATTCCCAAAACCAACCCAAAACCAATTTAACCCCAACCATTAACAAACAAACAACTACCCCACCTTACACAACCATTCCCACCACCAAAACCAACACCACCCACCCCACATTCAAACAAATCCCCACCACACAAACACACATTACCCACAATAACACCCAATATTACACCAATTAAACCCCAATCATACCAACAAATTACTAGAACCCACACCTTACAAAACCCACCCCCTCATACACTATCCCAACACCCTCCAACCCCCCCCCCCCTCACCACATTCCCCCCATCCACTCACACACCACACAAAACTAAACAACATTATATTCATTTCCCCCTCTCCCTTCAATATCCCCACCAACCTATACAACCCCCCACACAAATCCAATCCAACCCCACCTCTCTCCTCTCCCCCCTACCCTCCCTTACCCTTACCTCTATAACCCACACATATCCCCCCCCTATAACCACTCACATCTCTCCTCACCACCCTAAAATCCCCCCCCCTTTTCCCCACCCAACACACCCTTCCCCCCCCCTTTCATCTCCTTTCCTCCCCCTCTCCTCTCTCTCTCTCCTCCTCTCTCTCCTATTTCTCCACCCTTTTCTCTCTCTCTCTCCCTATTTCTCCCCCTCATTCTCTCTCTCTCTCCCCTCTATCACCCCTCTCGATCCCCTCTCTCCCCCCCTATTTTCCCTCCTTCCTTCTCTCCCCCCCCCCTCTCTCTCCCCCCCCCTCTCTACTCCCTCTCCCACCTCTTCCCCCCCTCTCTTCTTCCCCCCTCCTTCCACCATCCCCCCACCAAACAATAACAATCAAAAAACCCCCCTTCACCTATAAACAAATTTTCCCCCCCTCCCCATTCTCTCCATATACATTCCCCCACTTCCCCATCTATCTCTCTAACTCTCTCTCTCTTAAACCCATCTCTCCTATCTCTCACCCCTCTCTCTTTCTCTAATCTCTCTTACCATTCATCACCCCCCTCTCCCCCTATATAAATCAATTCCATACCTAACCCATCCTACCCTCAACCATACCCCCTTATTCTCTTCCATACCCCCTCATTCTATACCCCACCCCCCCCCCCATTCATATCATTCCTCCTTTCCAACCCCAATTCAACCCCCCCACCCCACTACATCCCAATAACAAACCACCAATATATCAACTAAACCCCCCCCCCCAATATACCTCCCCATCCTTTAACCAACCTCCATAAACCCCTCTACAACTCCCAATCCAACCTAACTACATTAATTACCCACACAATCCCCCCCCCCATATCCCCCCCCACCCCTATACCCCCTTTTCCCACCCCAATTCCCCCCTTTCCAACCCCCCCTCCCAATTCCCCCCACCCCCATACCCTAACTCCCCCCTAAATACCCCTATCTTATTCACTCCCCCCTTCCCCTCTTTCCCACCCTCCTTTCAAATTACCTTAACCCCTTCCCTATTCCCCCACTCCTACTCTACTCAATCTACTCTACTTCTACTCTACTTTACTCTACTCTACTCATACTCTACTCTACTCTACTCTCCTCAATCTAAACATCTACTTTACTCTACTCAACTTACTTTACTCTACTTTACCCTAACCCTAACTTACTCTACTCTCCTCAACTTTACTTTACTATCCTCTCTACTCAACTTACTCTCTCATCTACTTTACTCTACTTTACCCTACCCAACTCTAACTCTACTCAACTCTATCTCTACTCTACTCTACTCTACTCTACTCTACTCTCCTCGACTCTACTCTACTTCCTTACTCAACACTCAACCCTCCTCTACTCTCTACTCTACTCTACTCTACTATAATCTACTTTACTATTCTACTCTACTCTACTTAATACTTTACCCTAACCCTACAATCATCTCATTACTCTACTCTCACCTCCCTACCAAACTCTACTTTTCTTTACACAACCCTTACATTCTCCCATACACCCACCTTACACCCCCCTACCCCCCTAAACCCCCACACCCCTTCCCCCACCAACCCCATCCCCACCCCCCCCCTTATACCCCCTTCCCCCCACATCCTTAACCTTCCCATTTCCCAATATACCCCCCTCTTACTCAACCCACCTTCACATTACTCATCTCTCCTTCTCTATTCCCCCCCCAATCCAACTCATTACCCATCTTTCCCATCCACCCTCACTTCCCCCTTACCACTAAATCTACTCTTCTTATCACAACCCCACCCTTCCCCCTCTTCCCCTCTATCCAAATCCTAACCATATACTCTTATCCCCACAACTAACTCAAACCCATACTCCAACCCCTATTAAAACCCCCTCCCTACCATCCCCCCCCCCCCCATCATACCCAATATCTATCACCCCTACACCAATCAAATAATAAAACCTAACACATTATCCCCAACAAACCCCCACTCCCCCAACCCCTCTACCTACCATATTCACCCTACACCCCCCTACACAACACCCCCATACCCTTCCAACCCCCACCCCCCCCAATATACAACAACATTCCAACATATACCCCTCAACTCTACAACCAACCCCCTCAAACAACAAAACACCCCACACATCAAACACAAACAACCACACAACTCAATAACCCAACAATAACAACACACACTATTTCCCCCACCTCCCCCCTACCATATACCCAAAATTCACCCCCCACCCTACACTCCTCCTCCACCCAACCTTTATTCCACCCCCCTCCCCCATCCCCTACCCAAATCACTCCATCCCATCACACCACCTTTCCCCCCCCCCCCACAAAACCAAAATCCCCACTTAACTACACTCCCCATACCAAACATCATCTCCCCCAAAACACACCCACACCCTCCCTATCTACCCCCCCCTCACCCTTCCTAACCCACAACATCCCTCCTCTCCACCCCCTCTTCACTTCTTCCCCCCTCCTTTCCCCCCAATCATTATACATATCCCTCAAATACACTCACCATACACTAAATACAAAACCTCTCCCCCCCCCCACCCACCCCCCTCTTACCACATCTCTTTCCCCCTACTAAAAACCCACCCTACCCCCCTAATTCTCATCTCTCTTACTCCCCTTCCTTCTTCCCAATATTCCCCCAATCATACCCCCATTAACTCACCACCCTAACCCCCCAACCCTCCCTCCTCATCTTTCCCCCCCATAAAACACACCCTTTCCCCCCCCCCCCCTCACCATCTTACCCCAAACTTCCCCCCTCCCCCCCCCCACCCTCAATCTTCCACAATCCAAATCTCCTATATTCAACCCCCCCTAAACTTACCAAACCCCCCCATCCCATAAATCCTCTTCTCCCACCCCCCCACCCATACACACATATATCCCCCTAAAACCACACCTCATAATCCCCCATAACCCCCCCCCTACCTTACATCCATAACCCCCCCCCCCCAATCTCAATACTTAACACTCCACTCCTACCCTCACTAACTCCCTCCACAAACTCCCCTCCCCTAAACACCCCTAATCCAAACACCACCCCACCACACCCAAATCTAAATCCATAACCTCCCCCCCCTTCCCCTACACTTCTAATCATTCCCTCCCCTTTCATACAATATATCCAACCCCCCCCCCCCCCCCCCCCCCCCCCCAATTCTCCACCTAATTCCACTTCCTCTCACCCCACCCCCCCCTATTTAACCCCCCCATTAAATTAAAACTTACTTCCCCTTCAACTCTATATTATAAAACCTCCCCCCCTCCACCACTAATTACCCCTTACCCCCCCCCCCTCCACCCCTTAATAAACCTATTCTCCCCATATCCCCCCTTAACCCACCCCCCACCTACACCTCCACCATATAAACATCACCATCCAACCCATATAAATCCCTCAAATCAACCACATCCCATAACAATCCTCCACTCCCTAAAATATCCTACAACTCCCCCCACCCCCCCATCCCCAACCTTTCACACCCCCCCCCCTCTCCCCCCCCCCCATCCAAATTCCACACCAATCCACCATTCCCACTCCCCCCCTACCAATAACCAAAACATCCCCCACATCCCCCCCCCAATCAATCATCTCCCCTTTCATTCCAATCATTTTTTTTTTTTTTTTTTTTTTTTTTTTTTTTTATTTTTTTTCAATCTCTCCCTTTCATTACACCCAACATTTTCCACTCTCTCCCCCTTTCCATTCACCCCTTTTCCACATCTTATCCCCTATTCAATTCCAATATTTCCAATCTTCTCCCTTTTCCCTTAAAACCATAATTCCAATCTTCTCCTATCATTAACCCCCATCCATTTCCTCTTCTCCCTTTCCCATTAACCCAATCTAAAATTACAATTATCACCATACACCACACTCCCCATCCTCCTTCCCACCAACCCCCCCCCCTCACAAATCCCAACCCCCCTCCCATCACTCAACCCCCCCCACCCCCAAAACCCACCCTCACCAACCCCAACAAACCACTCCTTCAAACACCTCCACCCCAAAAACCTAACACCACAACCCTTACAATAACATCCCCCCCCCTATTTCTCTTCCTCCTACCCAACAACCCATTCCCCATAAACCCCTCCTTACCTCCCCCCCATTCACCCATTTCCCCCTTCAACACAACTCTCCTCCCCCCCCCCCAAACCCTCATCTCTTCCCTTTCAACATTTCATTTTTAACTATCCCCATTTAAACCATCCCCCCCCTCCCTATCTCTTTCCTCTCTCTCTTCCCCTCTATCTCCCCCCACTCTCTCTACCCTCTCTCCTCTTCCTCTCTCTCCCCCTCTCTCTCCCTCTCTCTTTCTCCCCCCCTTCTTTCTTCCCCCTCTCTCTCCTCTCTCTCCCCTCTCTCTCCTCTCCTCTCTCCCCATCTCTACTCTTCTCTCACCCTCTCTCTCTCCCCCCCTCTCTCTCCCTCCTCTCTCTCTTCCTCTCTCTACTTCCCCCTTACACTCTCTCCCCCTCTCATCTCCCTCTCTCTCCCCCCCTCTCTCTCTCCCCTCTTCTCTCCCACTCTCTCTCCCCCCTTCTCTTCTCCCCTCTTCTTCTCCCCTCTCTTCTCCCTCTCTCTCTCCCTCTCTCTTCTCCCCCTCTTCTCTCCCCCCTAGCTCTCCTCTCTCTCCCCCTTCTCTCTCTCCCCCCCTCTCACTTCCCTTCTCACTCCCTCTCTACTCCCCTCTCTCACCTCTTCTCTCCCCTCTTCTTCCCCCCTCTCTCTCTCCTTCTATCTCCCCCCATCACTCTCTCCCCTCTCTCTCACCCCCCCCCCCTCCCCCTCTCCCCTCTTCTCCCCCCCCTCTCTCTCTCCCTTCTCTCACCCCCCTCTCTCTCCCCCTCTCTCTACCTCTCACTACTCCCTTCTCTCTCCCTCTCTTCGCTCCCTCTACTCTCCCCTCTCTCTCCCCTCTCTCTCCCCTCTCTCTTTCTCCCCTCTCTCTCTTCCTCTCTCTCTCCCCACTCTCACTCCCCCTTCTCTCTCTCCCCCCACTCTCTTCTCATCTCTCTCTCCCTCTCTCTCCCCCTCTTCTTCCCTCTTAACCTCTCTCTCTTCCCCCTCTCTCTCTCCTCTCACTCTCCCCTCTCTCTCCTATCTCTCCCTCTCTCTTCCCCCCTCTCTCTCTCCCCCTCTCTCTCAACCCCCCCTTCTTCTCCCCCTTTTCTATCTCACCCTCTCACCCTCTTCACCCCCCTTCTCACCCTCTCTCACCCCCCTCTCTCTCCCCCTTTCTGTACACCCCCCTTTCTCTCCCCCCCTCTCCCCCCCCTCTCTACTCCCCCCAATACACTATCCACAATCAAAAACATCCCCATTAAACCCCATATAAAACCCCATTCCCAATTCACCACCCAACCACATCCAATCAATTCTCTCCCCTCTTTCTCCCCCTCTCATTCTCCCCCCTCTCTCCCCCCCCCACTCTCCCTCATCCCCCTCTCTCTTCCCCCCTTCTCTCTCCCCCCTCTCTTCCCCCTTCTCTCCCTCATCCCCCCCTCTTCTCCCCTCTCCCCCCTCTCTTTCCCCCTCTCTCCCCTCTCTCTCCCTTCTCTTTAACTCTCTCTTCCCCCTCTCTTTCCTCTCTCTCTCACTTTAACTCTCTCTCCCCCCTCTCTCCCTCTCTCTTCCCCCCCCCTCTCTTTCAACTCTCTCTCCCCCCTCTCTCCCCTTCTCTCCCCTCTCCCCTCCCCTCTCTCCCCCCCTCTCTAAACTCACTCTCTTCCCTATCATCTCTCTCCCCCCTTATCTCTCTCCCCATCTCTCTCCCCCCCCCATCTCTCCCATACATCATCCCATCCCTCCCCATCATTTACCATTCCTTAACTAATCATTAATCCCCCATCCCCCCTCTTCCACCATCCCACACCCATCCCCCCCATTTTCCCTATACCTAAAAAATAATAAACTCATACTCACCTTACACAACCTCTCAACCACCCACCCCAAACCTCTCCCAAACCCAACCCACCCAACCCAACTCCCTAACCCACTATTACAACTATTTTACCCCACCTATATCCTCATAACATAAACCAAACTCTATACCTCCCCCCACCCCATAAACTACTCAACCATTCACAACCATTATCTAACCCCCATATCACCCCAACAACACAACCACCCACCACTAATAATAATAATCTCTCTTCAAACCACCCCCCAAAAAACCCACCCCCCACCACATCCCCCACACCAACCCCCACCCAAAAACCAATCCATCCTAACCCAACCCCACCACATACCCCCAAATAAACTCCCACCCCCAACCCCCTACAAACCCCTACCATCATACATCAAACACTAACCACATCCACAACCACATTACAACTCCTCCAACACTACCAAAAACACCCACCACCCCCCCCCACCCATCCAAACCCCTTATAACCTTATAACTCTAACAACTCCCTATTATCTTAACCCCCTTCCCACCCAACCCCACCCCACCCCTTACCAACCAACAACCCCCCCTCCAAACACAACCTTAAAAATTTACCAAAATTTAACACACCTCCATTTCCCCCACCAACAACCCAACCATATTACACCACCCATATTACATAATTACAACACATTAAACATATTACAAAACCAACACATTACCAACATTACAACTTACCAACAACCACCAAATAAACCCATTACCACAAAATTACAACCACCCCACATCCTTACAACAATTAAACACATTACACAACCAATTAAATTAAAACTTAAACCCCTAACTTACAAACCCATTAACACCAATTAACACACAAATTACAATTAACAATTAAACTAATTACACACAAATTACCACACAAATTACCAACCCAAATTACACACATTACACACCTCAACCTCAACTCAACATAAAACCACTCCCCCCCACTCCCTATACCCCCCTCCCCTTCCACCCAAATCTCCCCTCCACCCTCTCCCCTCACCCCCATTCAAACACCCACATTAAATACCAATTACACACCCATCCACCCACCATAACACACAATACAACACATTACAACAATTACACAAAAATCCCACACCCCATATCACCCAACATTTAACCTCCAAAATCACCACCACCAATTAACACCACCATTACACACACCCACCATTTACCACCCCAACTTAACCACACATTACACACACCCACATTACATACCAATTACACCACCACCCACTTTACACCCCCAATTACACACACATTAACAAAAAAAAAAAATTACCACACCCAAATATACACACACCTTAACCAACATTAACACCAACATTAACAACAATACCCCCACAACAACATTAAACCACACAATTAAACACATTACCACACCCAATTACCCCACACCAAATACCACCAACTTACCCACCACATTACCCCAACCAATTACAACACATTACAACAAGTAACACAAATTAACAACAAAATTACAATTAACCTCCAATCACAAAATACACCAACAATTACACACCCATTACAACACACATTACCACACACAATTAACACCCAACATTACACACCAATTCCCACCCAACTTACCACACAATTAACACCCACACTTACCCAACCAACATTACACCCCCCAATACACCACCACATTACCAACACCAATACCACACACCACATTACCCCACAAACATTTAACACACCCAATTAACACACAATACACACCAATTACCACACATTACACCCCCCACCAACATTACCACAACACATTACAACACTTAACACACAACATTAAACACAATATAAAACCACCACATTTACAAATATACCACACAAATACCAAACCAATTACCCACACACACTTACACCAACACACATACCCACACAACTTACACAACACATTACACCACCAATTACAACCAAATTACACACACAATTACAACCCAATTAAAAATTCCACCCCTTACAAACTTACCACACCCCCACAATTCCACCCACCAATTACACCCACATATACAACAACACTCCTCATTAATCTTAACCCCCCTTTCCACCCCCACCCCCAACCAACCTCCCCCCCAAACAACACCACCTACCCCACATATAAATATCCCACCACCACTCCACATACCCATACAAATTATTAACCCACATATACCCCTAACCCAAACCACCAACCCCTAAACTAAACAATATAACCCCCTACCCCCCCCCCCATACCACAACCCACCCCCCAAAACACTCCTCCCTACCTACCACTATACCCTACCACAAACCACACCCAACATACTCCCCCATATCAATAATTCTTCCTCTCCCATTTCCTACCCCCCCAAATAAAAAAAACAAAACCCCTCCCAAACCCCACACCTACCTCCCCTCATTCACCCCCACCCCCCCCCCCCCTCCCCTCAATAAATCCCCCTACATATCCCCCACTTCCATTCCTTCTCCCAACCAATAATTCACCCTATATCCTCCTTCCCCCCATACCATATCAACCTCTACCCCCCTCTTCTTCCCCCCCCTACATATACTCTATACCCCATCCTTCTAAACCCTACCAATATCACCACCTTCTACCCCTCCTACTCCCCTACCCATAATCACCACCTCTACCCTCTTCTTCCCTTCCCATTTACCACCTCTTACATCTAATAAAAAATTCCTAACCAATACCCTACCAAATTATCACTTCCCAATTCAACCCCCATCCAACCCCAACCAAAAAATAAAAAAACAACAAAAAAAAATACACTCTCCCACCATTCCTAATTTCAAAAATATTCTTCCAACCCCCACCATTCTCTACCCAACCCCCCTCACCCTCTCCACCCCCCCCCCCTAACCCCCCCCTTTCAACATCCCAATCACTCCCCCCCCAACTACTAACACAACTTTATACAAACTCCCATATCCCCCAAATCACCCAAAAACCCCCTCCTTCATCTAATTCCACATCACCTCCTCACAACAAATTTACATTCCCCCACCCCCTCCACATTACCTTCCCCACCTCCCTCCCTCTCCCCCTAAAACTTATCACACCTTACTCAACCCCCCCTCCATACTTTACCATATCCACCGTACATTACACCCCACCCTTATACTCAACCTCCCACACCCACTCACTATCTCCAAAAAATTTTCAACAACTCCTCCTCCCTCCCCAATTTCATAACTCCCATCCTCTTCACCCCACATCATCACCCCCCCCCAACATTCATACCACATCATCACCCACATCATACACCCTCCAACCCCCACCCCCCATCTCCCCTATATCGCCTTACTCATATTTTCTCCTATATCCCATGAAATTCTAACACCACATATCCATACACAATTCATAACTCATTCCTCCACCCCACCCCCCCCAAAATCCAATAACCCTCCTTCCACTTAAATTTACCACCTACACCCCTCTCCCACAACCTCTAACCATATATCAAATTTAACACAAATAAATCAAACCATAACCACCCCCTCTCCTTATATTACTTTTAAAACTCTCACATCTATTAACCCTATCAATACCTAACTTATCTTCCCTTTAACAAACACAACCTATATTTCCCCTTTCCTTTCTCCCTCTCTACTCCTACTTACAATCACCACCTCCAACACCTTATAAACCCCAACAAACACACCCCCTATAAAGCAGCCCGACCAAATTACATCTATATTCTTATCCTTTAGTTTATCCAACCACCTTCGCCCAAACATCTTCTATCCTTGCCCATATTCACCAACTCTCCCACCATATTTCCATCATTAACTTTACCCACACCACTTATCTCAAGCATACCCCCAATTCTCTCCCTCATTCCCCCTATACCCACAATATAAAACCCACCTAACCCCAATACCCACATTCCATAATCCACCCCCCTTCCTCCCCTCCCCTATAATTATCAAAATAAACTTAACCCCTCCCTCCCTTCTTCCTTACAAACCTTACATCAACCCCCCCAAATCAAACTCAAACACCCAACTCCAAACAATCACACCCTTTCCTAATACCCCTATCAATACTACCACCCCCACCCCACCCCACCATACCCCCCCCCCACACACAACAACCACAACCCCTCACACAAATAAAACCCCTCTCCCAACACATTCTAATACCACACTTATCCACATTAACCCACCCATATTACCCACCTTTCTCCCCATATTAACCTTTTCTACCAATCCATACCCCCCTATAATCCCCCTCTCAATTCTCCCCCATCCCTCTAAAAAAAAAATCAAACCCTACACATATCCCCATTCTCTAAAACCTCACACCCACCACCCCCCCCCCCACTTCTCTTAAATCCAAAACCAATAAAAAATTAAAAAACATTCATATCCCCCCCCAAAAACTTCACCAATACCACAATCCCACTCTACTAACCACTCCCCCTCCACCATTGCCCCCCCCCCATTACCTCATCATTATTTCATTCCACCACTTCTTTCACCTCTATACCCCTTCTCCTTTATTCTCAAAACTCCATCTTTCTATTCCCCCTTTCCCACCATATATTACCAAACAACCTACATCCCACCCTCACTCTCCCCCTTCTCCTAATACCCCTACCCATCACCCATACAACTCATTTCCATTTCCATTTCCATCTTTCACTTTCAATCTTTCCCAATTTTCCTTCTTCCCATTTCCATTCTCCATTTCCATCTTCATTTCCATCTTCCCATTCACCTCATTTCCAACCCACCCACCAACCACAAAACACACACACACCACCACCCAACACACACAAACCACTAACACTACCCAACCCACCCCCCACCCACCAACACACACACCAACCCCACCACCAACCCAACCAAACCAACACAACCACCACCAACCCCCACACCCAACACCACCAACAACCACCACCCCACCCCCAACACAACAACACCCACACCAACACACAACCAAACCAATCCCACCCACAACCCCACTCCACACCACCCACACCCAACCAACCAAAAAAACCACCACAACCCACACCCACCACACCCCACCAAACCAAACCCCACACACCCACCTACCACACCAACACACACCCAACACACCACAACCAACCAAACCACACACACAACACAACACACCAACCAACCTACAACCAAAAAAACACCCACACTATAAACCCCATACTTATATACCCCTACCCCCACACAACTACCACAATTATTAAACACCCCTTCACCTCATTACCCCCCCTATAAACCCATACCTATCAATCCCTATAATCCCATAATTCCTCCCCCATTTAATCCCCTTACCAAACCTTTACACAAAAAAAATATCTAATTCCCTTACTTTCCTCCCCTCACCCACCTCTACCTCATCTCACCCATCCCACTTTTTATTACCCTTTCAACCTACCCCACTAAAATCATCCCCGCCCAAAAAATTTTAACACTTTCACCTTCCCCCCAAAATCCCTTCCCCCAATAAAACAAAAAAATAATTATTCACCTCAAAACCAACCACCACCCCCTCCCATTCAAATGTAATTACCCCCACCCCTCTAAAATTCCCGTACATCACCCTCTCCTTAAACCCTTTCTCCAAAACTACTCACTGTACCCAAGCCATCACCCCATCCCCACACCCCACTTAACACAATAAATAACCAAACCCACACACTCAATCTCCACACACACTGTTTATCACACCACACACAAAATAACACAAATACCCTCACTCACACACACAACACCCACCCAAAACCACATTACCTACACATCGCAACCATAACAAATTACCCCCCCCAACCCCCCCTTCACAATTCCCCACCTAAACCCCACAAGAATTTTAATTCATCTCATCTTAGTACCACACAAACTTACACACATTATTTTCTACATATATACACTTCATTAATTTATCACAAAATTACACATCTCACACTCATGTACCACCCCATTAGCACAAATGTCCACTCAAATTGTACACCACACAGTACACACACAACACACACCCCTTGTACACCCCAAATACAACATACACCAAACTTAACCCATACAACACACTAACATCACAACAATTACACATTACATGTTCTAACACACTCCAATAATTCTATATTGTCTACGACATTCTATTCCGTTTTTATATATCATACCGTTTTACACAACTCGAAATATTTTATATTATTCACTATTTGTCCCTGATCAATCCCTAATCGTAACCAGTCCCAAATCCATATAACAAATGACTCTTATAAGTCATATCCTCTTGCCACACACAAATGCTGACCTAATAAATCACCCAACTCCCATACCTCATGTCCCCATTCCACACACCTTTAACAAACTAATACAATACAATATATCGAAACACGGATAAATTAACCCAAAGCTCAGTATAATAGTGAATATACATAACAGCCATACAATCATTTACATTCTATATCCCAGACCCAAAAATATTCTGTTATCTCTACCCTGCCATACTCCTCATATCTCCCCTCTCTCCCCTATATCTCACACTTTACTATCCACTCTCTCCTATCGCTTCCCTCACTCTATCCCCTCTTTCTGATCATATTTATCTACTCCTATATATTCATACCTCATATCGCTAGTTTCCCAATCCTCACTATCACCCTCATTAGTCCCCTCTAGATCTCCTGAATAGGCCTTATCATCTATCTAATATCGCTTACCTAAACTCTCCCCTATCATAATCACTAATCATATACACAAACTAAAAATACTCCATAGTAATATTCCAATGTACTAACTCAGTCGTAGTGATGTCCATTCGTTTCCCCTCCCCAATAACAAACTCTTACACCGCTTCCCCTGCCCTTTTCTCCATTTCACCCCCATTCTTACACATCCACACTCCTAATCTGTAGCACCTCTCACCCCCCTACGGCTTAGTTCAACTAGTAATGACTGATTAAGGTTACACTTTTCGCACCCTTGAACACTTATTCCACACCTTTAAAAAAAAAAACCAGTCCCAACTACACATCCCCCACATCGATTATACCCTACCCCCACAACCCCCCTAACTATTACCCCCCCCCCCTACCTTCAATCCTTCCCCCCCATCCACCCATAAGATTATTCCCCAACACAACCACCTAAACCACCCCCATCTCCCTTCTCTCCCCTCTTCTCCCCTCTATTCTCCTCTCTCTCTCCTTCTTCCTCCCTCTCTCTCCTCTCCTCTCTCTCCCCCTTCTCTTCCTCTCCATATTCCCTTCTCTCCCCATCTCTCTTCCTCTTCTTCCCCCCCTCTCTCTTCCCCTATATCTGACCCTCTACATAACACCACCCACCCCCACCCCCATAACAAATATCCCTTATCATTCTCTACCAACCCCCCATCCCTTCCCCCTTACTTACACCCTTCCTTTCTTATTCACCCTTCCCTATTCCTAACTTCACCCTTCTAATCCCCTTATTACCTTCCTATTTCATACTTTTATCCCCTCTTCCTCCTCTCCCCTCCCTATTTCCTCACCCCTCCCCCTCTCTTTAAAACCATTTAATTATTATCTACCCTCTCTTATCAAATTACCAACAAATACATCCTCTCCCCCTATACCTCTTCATACACATCCAACCCTATTACCATCCCCCCCACCCAAACCCTCCAATTTTTCCTTTCCCCCCTTTACCTCATATACATAACATCATCCCCCCATAACCCCAAATCTACACCACATATACCTTTAAAATATACTCCTCTATACCAACTACCTACTCCCCAAATTTAAACCAATCAACCTCTCTACAACACCTTAAAAATATAACAACTCCCACTCCATACTATTCCCTCTTTCACAAACTCACTACACCCATCAAATCCCCACCCCAAAAACAACCATTTCTATACCCCTAATATAATATAATTATCAAAATTCCAATCCCTATTTCCCCCCTCTCCCCCTTAAATTTCACAAAAAACCAACAACAACCCCCCACCCCCCCTTAAAATACACCCAATAAATCCCCCTATTAATACTATACAACCAACAACCCCCTTCCTCCTCCCAACAACCCAAATACCCCCCTCCTACCCCCTCCAATCCCCCCACTACATCTCCCACCACTACATCCCTAATAAAAAACCCTATCCCAAATAACTCCAATCACCCCCCCCCCAAAATTCCCTCCTACCTAATCCACACCCCATCATACCATCCAAACCAACCCCTCTCACAAATCCACTCTTTCCTCCTATTCCCAATTCCTAACCCCCCTTCTCCTCTCACAACTCACACACCTCTCACATCCACTCCCCCAATCCCCTCCCACCCTTCCTCCTACCACCATCCCCCTACCAAATATAAAAATTACTTTAATACCCAAAACCTACAACATTACATACCACAACCACACATCCGCCCCAAACCCCCACCAAAAACACCATTCCACCATACCCTTACATCAACCAACCCCTATCTCTTTTAATATCTACAATAAATTAAAAAATTACACCACCAATTACCCACACAATTACCCCACACCCAACATTACCCACACCACATTACCCCAAAATTACCACACCAATACCAACACCACACACATCACCACCTCACCCCCCTACCACACCCATTACACAAAATTACCACACACACATAACACATTAAAATTAAAAAAAACACACATTACACAAACCTTACCACACCAACTACCCCCATTCTACAAACCCAATCCACTCACCACCCCCCACTCCTACCAAACTCTATTCCATAAAACAACCCCAATCAATATCTCCATATAAATAAACCAATCATTATTATCTCATATCAACCGTAATCAACCACACCTAACTTCCTCCATAAACTCAACCCATACTTAAAAAATCAAACCCCAAAACCTCACTCCCTCCCACCCACAACCCTCTCACCCTCTCTTCCCACTATCCTAACACCCCCCCCAACACATCCCCAATCACATAGTCTACATTCCTAACTTATTCATTCTTGACTTCCACCACCTTCACTATTATAATCCCTAGACCTTCACTACCATAATTCTCTCTAACCACCATACCCTCACCCCCCCAATACTCCACCCAAAACATTCAAACCCCTATACCACCTTCCCACCCCCCACACACTCCCTCCCACACCCCCATCCCACTATCATCCTAATCATTCTAAAACATATCAATACCCTACCCTTTTTACTTCATTACCTATTATAAAAATAAAACCTCCATATTCCTAACCATACTTCTATCTTCTCCCCTACTATCCGTTCCCACAACCCCAATAACATACCCACCCCCCAACCCACACACCCCCAAACTCCTCCACACTAAATTCTCCCTATCTCCATCTCAACCTCCTCTGATCCCCTTCTTCCCCCCTATATCATATCGCTTCACAGTCGCTTCCTATCTATTTTCACTATCTATATCATAACTACTTCCCTCTCTCTGACTATCTATACCAAATATCCTCACTATCTCCATGTTCTCCCCACCATCATCTGTATGCTATACCGAGCTCATATATACATATGATACATACTCTATCTATCTATTGCTAGACACATCATATTTCCGTCCCTAATATCACCTCTATCACTATAGCCTATTCGCCCTATTTATAGAATAATCCCTCATTCTTCTCGCTCTCCAATCTCTGCTACCTATTGAACTCAAATCTGATCAGATTCTCTATATAAGTATCTACCTCTCGTCTCTTCTCACCCACGCGCTATCACTCTGCACCGACCCTCTAGACGCTCGACTAGTCACCCATCTGTATATACTCGAGTCCCTCGATCGGTCACCCATAGAGCTAATGCTTCCGTATCTCTATAGCCATATCTTCGGCCATGCATGCCCATGACCAACCATTATGGTAAGCATCGACAAAAAACTCAATACATTCTCAAACCAAAAAGTACTCAATTCTAACCAACTTACATACGTTCTCAGAATCAATCTCTACCTCAATCTCATTGAGGTTATCCGACTTTCAACTGTGCCCAAAAATCTTTATCCTGATTCCTTCACACCAGTCCAAGCACACGAATAACAATGAAAACCGACGAAAAAACCCAGTCGACCTGGGGTAATCTACAACCGACCAATCCCTTGGATATGACTACAGAGCATCTATCAGTAATAATTTTCATTAAGTCCATTGTCGCCTTAATTATAGTAACAGCACCATAATTAAGTAATATTAACTCAATTAAATGCATCGCCCCCATCATATCTTCCATCTCAGGAATAAGAGAGAACCCCAACAGATACCATGTACACACACTTAATTTAAAAATAATGTTACACTAGAGAGCATCTCCAATACTATTTCCTCTCCTCTGTAGAAGTAGTATATAGTGCACACACTCTATATCCGTTATAATCTACAAAACAAACACTTAAAAACCCACTATACACTTTTGGTCTCACACAAAACAGAAATTTGAAAGAACTATAGGTCAAGTAAACCTAGCTTGAAAAAACATCATACTATTCTTTACAAAAAATACGCCGCCTAGTCAAAGACCAAAACAGACGATGTGCCGGTCAAAACTCCGAGATTGGTCTGAATTATAATCCCCCATAGTTGAATAATATACAACATTTAATCCACATATACTATTTGCTGAGAGAAGTAATTTTGAAACAAGTATAAAATCACTCAGTAAGCCGTATACGGACACACACAAGTACATGCAAATCAGAAGACAAACATACCAAAAACATTATTACGACTATATCCAAGATTATTCAAACTATATATAATATATATAACATTTACCAACCAGGTGAGAGACAGACTTCTCAGTCTCTAATGTCTCATCACTACTCTTGCTCTCATACACATTGTATCAATCTCTGGCATCAATCTCACAGTGTAACATCAACTTGACTCTTGTCACATACTCTTCTCTCACTATGGTCCTCTCTCTCTATACTATTACACTACATCACATCACTCATGCACACTTTTCAATATCACAGGACTCTCATCTGTCATCTACTACTCAGCTGTCTCTCTACTCTCCCACTGTACTTATCACATCGTATCTCACCCTATCTTAGGAACTAGGCAGGATTCTCTCGCACTCTCTCTCCCCTTCTATAGTCTCTCTTTTCACTCTTCTCACTGGTACTCTCTTCATTTCTTTATGGACTCTTACTCTCTAGATCTCTCTATGGTCTCTTAATCTACTCAGGTCATTCTAAATGGTTCTTTCTCTTTTCTCTCAAGTGCTCTATTTTCTTCTCTCTCATTGGATCTCTCTGGTCTCTCTCTTTTATTGTATCACTTGATCATGGGTCTCACACGTTATTATGCTAAAGTTATTGATTTATATTGATTTAGAACAGAGAGATTGTTCCACCTTATCTTCGCTCTCACTCCTACAGTTCTGTAATGCTGCATACACAACAATGACATTTCCCGCTGACGGACAAAATTATACTCATCTCTTATCTGTTTTGCAAGTGTATGATGCGGGGCTTGCTATTGAGTAATCTCTGAATGCATGTGGAAGCCTAAAGAGTGAGTTTGCAGGTGGGTGTAGAGTTTACATGAGTCAACTCATCTCCAATCTGTCGGGAGTCTGACAATGAGCAAAACCAGCGAGAGGGAGCCGCCCTCCAGGCCACCGTTACTAGCGACGCCCAGCGGCAGGCAGCTGTGAAGGGGTGAGTTGCGATTGTCCGGCGGCTTTAGCTCTGTACTCTTTATGCTGAAACTTTAAGTGTCAAAAGCCGCCGTTTAGTAACAGTGCACTTTATGCTGATGGAGCTACTGAATAGCTTTTCAACATCAAGGAAGCAAACACAGTTCTACATTCAGGAATAAAACAGTCCCTTCTAATTAAGCTATTGGTAGGTAGGCAAGACTCAAGGTGAGACAGGGAGACATGAAAGAGACCCGAGAGCGACCAGAGAGACAGATAGGGCCCAGAGATGATGAGACAGAAAGAGGGCAGGGGAAAGTGGACATGATCAGGAGAGCAGAGAGAGAGCGAGGGACCACGGGAGAGGGACAGAGAGAGGGGACAGAGGAGGACCCCAGAGGGAGGGACCAGAGTGAGGACTGAGAGAGGGACCTAGAGAGAAACCAGACAAGACTCGCTCCCATTCACGTGAGGAGAGACACAGACTACCAGTGAGGCCAGGATTAAAAAAGTATTTTTACTGCAGCATATAGTTAAGTTAGGTAGAAGACTCAGGTAAGACTTAAAAGTAAACTACGTCTAAAAACACAAAATTGTCTGCCTATTATTACTTCTGCTGAAGTTGTTCATTGTATTCATAGCTCTTTATCTGATCAAAGACTCTTCTGTCTCTGGGAAAGCCATTTTCAGCTTCTTCCCTCTGGCAGAAGATTGTTATAATGAAATGCAGAGACATTGGATATGCTAAGACTTCTTTCAAAGATGTTATCAGTATGAAACAAAGCACTTTACGAATAGCATACTAGGGTTAGGGGTATTCATATAGTTTGCAATACTGACGTACTGTGGACAATGTAATAATTGCAGCTTCTGAATACTTACTAAACACTACACCACTTGGCAAAACAATGAGACAATACCTTGTTGAGTTGAATAAGATGAAAAATGATCCTCCCAAGGATCTCTGTTTTACTTGCAGAAGCCAAACACACCAAACATAACACAATTTACACTAAACATTGTGAATAAATATTGATGCATCATGTATTACGGTAGTTAGATGCGCCTTCCATACAGTCTATGCTATATACACAAACCTTACGCTTGAAGCAATGAGAAGCCCGGAAGCTATGAGAAATTGAAAACTTCGACACAACGACACGACTGATAGCTAAGTGATCAGTGAGTGACGAGACTTGACCAGCTACCCTGGTGTCCCTTCCCAGTGAGTGAAAAGGTATGGGTGAGACCTTGAGGATGACAGAGCTCCGCGGACACGTGGTCTGTACATTACAGAAGACGGACACAGGCACAGTCTGGTCGGCACCACCAACACACTGGCGTCGAAGGAGTCGTCCTCACTGCAGCTGCAGTCTGTCGAGCATCCGACATCCTCCACTACAAGTATCGACGTCATTCAGTATCGACTGTCCACTTCCTGTATCGACTTCCACATCTGTATCCCGGCGCCGTCTCTTCTGGAATTCGCTCATCCGGATGTCACAATACAATTTTGAGGATTAGCTTTAGACGGTAACCAGATACTCTGGTACAATGGTCATCTCTCTCTGGTCGCTTTCTTGGGTCGCTCTTCAGTGGTTTCTTCTCAGGTCTCACTCTCTAGGTCTTTCTTGGTCTACTCTAGTCTCTCTTTCTCGTCGCTCACTTGGTCTCTCTTTGTCATCTCTCTGGTCTCTCTTGGTTCATCTCTGGTCTCAGTTATTAACCTTATGACTAGTAATTTTCACCACAAACAATTATTCATTTGCTTCATTCTTATCTTTTTTTTTTACCATAACTTTATAATAGTTTGATTTTCATAATCTTCTTTTGTGCTGTGAATTAGGACGTACAAAAATAAATAAATGTGATGAAAGTGTAAGACCGTTTCTCTTGAACGCACGTCATCCACGATTGTCTCTCCTCTGGTGTGGTGTTTTGGTGCAGTCTTCTGCGGGGAGGGAAGTGACGCATGTTGAGCGCAGTCGACCGGGGCAGCTTGAGCTGTGACGCGCGGTAGCTGATGCGTGGGCGTGGCACCGACAAGGTCCCTCTCATGGTCTTCATGGCACAACAAGTCATCAAGAAACGGGAAAGAGAACGGATTAAACTAGCAAATAAACTAGCTCTTTTGACCTCTCTCTTCTCTTCTTTCAGGCCTCTTTTTCTCACTTCTGGTCTCCTCGGGTTTCTCTTTTCTTTGTCCCTATGGTTCTCTTATCTTGGCCACTCTTTCATCTCTACACACTCATTGTCTCTCTATCTGGCCCACTCTCTTCCTCTCTATGGTCACCAAACTTAGTCTCTCTCAGTGGTCTCTATCTGGTCTCTCTTTTATGGTTCTCTTTCTGGGTCTTCTTTATTGTTGTTCCTCCAGAACCTGCTTTCAGTGCTTATTCGATTCAAAAACACCAGGCTTATATGGACAAACACTGAATCGATAATGAATATATTTTACGTTTAAAAATAACTTGATAGGTGTGGACTGTGCCTCAAGTGTAAAGTCGATTGTGATAAAACGTGTCCTTCAAAAATCGTGCACACTGCTATTCATCTCGAGAAAAGAGACAAAGTCAAAGAGGTCGGTCAGAGTGTTCAATATCTGTGCCAAAGTCTCTAAACGACTCGGGAGCGATAATCCAGTTTGACACACACAACGGGCGAAAATCCATTTCTCCAAGGAAACAGGCTATAGAAAGACCGACAGAGACCAGAGAGAGGGAAAGCGAAAGGAGAGAGAAGTGGGAGATAAAGGTAGAGAGATGAGGAGAAAGTGGGAGACAAGTGAGGAGAACGAGAGAGAACAGAGTGATACCAAAGAGAGGCAGAGAGAACCTGTGGGAGACAGAGAGAAGAAGAGAGATGAACCAAAGAGAGAGACCAAAAAAGAGGAGATCAGACAGGACAAAGAGAGCCAGAGAGAGACAAAGAAGGCTCTCCAACATCATTTATAGTTATCTGATTTATTTCCAGGGACGCTGTTTATTAGAGTACAAAAGAAATGGGAGTGCAAGTGACTGGACCAGGAGGGAAATGTGTGAGGAGAGAGAGAGAGAGAGAGGTCAAAGAGGAGAGAGAGAGATGACCAGAGAGACGAGGAGATAAGTAGGAGAGAGGTAAGGGTGCCTAAAAGCTGACAGTGTGATAGCTTTGAGCTGTAGGTACCATCGATGTAAAGCTCTAATGTAACTTCGCTTGGAGAAGGACCTGTCAAAAGTGGATTGTCAATCAATCTGGCATGTGATGGTTGCGGGAATTAATCTGGATTTAACAAACCAAAGTCTGAAACAAAGGATCTTTCAATTGATTTTCGATTCTTTTACCACAAATGCTGTAGAAAAGACTTGTTACTAAGCCAGTTTTTTCCACCAGCGTACTAGCTTGTTACGCTGTAGTATCTGGTTGGTCTATCTTGCAAACTGTGCACAAAAACAAGATTACGGGGAAATTCTTGGGCAACATGGCTTCCAACAGCTACTCTGGCATTCACCCAATCCCACCAACCAACCAAAAATTGTCCAGTTAGAACAGTATGTCGTGGCCTGTATAGAAACCAGGACCAAGACGGACTAAAGAAGGGATATGGTACTGGTTACACTGGGACTGTGGAAACATAGAGTAGAGTGGAGTAGAGTAGAGTAGTGTTAGAGTAGAGTAGTGTAGAGTAGAGTAGTCGTAGAGATAGAGTAGAGTAGAGTAGAGTAGGAGTAAGGGTAGAGTAGATTAGCGCTAGGGTAGAGTAGGGTAATGTAAAGTTATGGGTAGAGAAATAGAAGATTAGGTTAGCTGTAGACAGAGAGTAGATTAAGGAAGAGTAGATAGGTAGGGTAGAGTAGGGTAATGTAAAGTAGAGTAGGTAGAGTAGGTAGGAGCGTAGGATAGAGTAGGTAGAGTAGATTAGAGTAGCGTAGAGTAGAGTAGAGTAGAGAAGATTAGAGAGTAAAGTAGATGTTGAGAGTAGAGTAGAGTAGAGTAGAGTAGTGTAGGGTAGGTGGTGTGAGTAGCGTAGGGTAGATAGGGTAAAGTAAAGATGGTAGAGTAGAGTAGAAGTAGAGAGTAGAAAAGTACTGTAGAGAAGGGTAGGGTAGAGTCCAGTCTGTGTCCAGGTCTCAGTCCAGTCTCAGTCCCAGGTCTCAGTCCAGTTATCAGTCCCGGCTCAATCCCAGTCCCTCAGTCCAGGCCTCCAAGTCCGCTCATGTCTGACGAGCCATGGACATTTGGGACATGAGGACGATTCTCTTTGCTTTATGATCGTGATGCTAGACGCGGAGGCAGGTGGATCACACGATAGAGGATTTTCCGGAATGGTACTACTGCGGCTGCTGCTTAAGCTCCTGGAACGGTCCTCAGATGAGAGTCCGCGGTGCACTGTAGTATTCCGATCCACAACAGCTAGCGGAACGCGAGTTGTTTGTACAGTTCTGTGTCGAGGTCGAACTTATCTAGGGCATGCATTTAAATGTAGCCGTAAAAGGGTTTGTACACTCGCAGAATGAAACAAAACTGCAGAACTGGCGAGGAACACTGTCTTTGGCTTTGTTTTTATGTTAGAGCTTTGAGATACGTGTCTTCAGTTACAATAGATATTCACGAGTTTGGCAGGGCTTCAAAGTCTTGTCAAGCAAGTTTTTTTACTCAGAGACATACCTGTACCTCACGAATATAGTCTTCTTATGGACCATGTAAGTCTGTCATATGTCACAAGGATTGTAGGTATAGTAACTAACGAGATTATTCTTTTATCACATAGATCAAATAATATATTAATATTTTTAGTTGTTTAGCTTATTGTTATTTATATTGTGGATTATCTCTGCAAGTACTGTGGTAACATTCTGTGGTCATTATAAGTCTTGTAAGTATAGAGTCGTAAATTAGGGTGTAATTCACGACCTGAAAAGTCTTTAGCTTACGCTTGCTTGATCCCCGACTAAACGGGACAAACTTTTTCTTTTGCTTGGTTTGTATTCAGCCTGTTTTTGCAAGTGAATTTTTTTATATAAACAAATTAAGGTGTGGCGATCGGCGCTCTATTGGACCGAGATCTAAGAGGATGTCGAACGCAGGAACAACGATGCGTGGCTGTATGTTGCGCTGTAGCTATGCTCTGTTTGTCTTTTTGAGAGCAAACCACCTTCAACATCAACAGCAGGTTCATAGGGAGGGCGACAAGTGTTATAAATATTGGCAGCGTCGGAGAATGCGTGAGGAGCAAGGAGGAGACACTTGAGTGTACGAGCCTGGTCAACATGGAATCACTGATAATAACCCTGTTCAACCAAACTTATGACAGCAGATTGTGATAAAACAGGGATCATTAATAACCGGCGACAACAGAGTGAGGATCATGTAGGAACCAAAGAACACAATTCAACTCAATGATGCGGAAACGGCCTATTGATGGTGAGACACAGTGGTCCGGCTATTTACCATGAACTGTTATGAAGATGCTGCCATTAACATCATGTATCATGGAACAGTGTTGCAATCCATAAGGCTGTTGCACAGCGTCTCCCATGTCAGGTTGCACGGCTCAGGAGTTGTTGTGTAAGGACGCAGAAAGAACTCAGATAGTTAGCGATAGTAGCGATTCGTTAGCGCTGCAATGTCTAATACCTCAGTTTACAGTCTGCGGGGTAGTTAAGACCAAAAACAGCGCAAGTATCTTGGAGTTGTGTCGGATTCGCATGTGTATTATACTGATTCAATTGGCCCAGACATCGATTGGAATCGACCGAGATCACCTAAAAGTGGGTCTCGGTACGGTTCTTAGGTCCTGCATGATGTGTGTGTGAGTTTTTCAGCCAGCTAATAGCTTCGGATCAGAGTACCAAACGAATAGTTCGTTTTAAAGTGGAGCAATGTGCAGTCTAAAAAACACCTAAGTATCGACTAATGTGTTTATAATCCATTGCATTTTGTGTTAGAACTGTATGATTATATGATAGTGTAGAAGAATGCAGTTTTGTGTAGTCTCGACAAAAATCCCCAAACATGCAATAGGGCTAATACAAAAATAAAGTAGGAAAAAAAAAAAAAGAATTTGAATTTCAATGAATCCTGGCCTAGCACCAAAGTATTGTAACATGTTACTGCCCTATGAACAACTTGACTTGAGGAGCACAGGGATCTGGCCTAGAGAGAGACCAGAGAGAGACTAGAGAGACCAGGGAGAGAGACCAGAGAGAGACCAGGGAAAGACCAGAGAGAGACCAGAGAGAGACCAGAGAGAGACCAAAGAGAGACCAGAGAGAGACCAAAGAGAGACCAGAGAGAGACCAGAGAGAGACAAGAGAGAGACCAGAGAGAGACCGGAGAGACCAGAGAGAGACCAGAGAGAGAGACCAGAGAGAGACCAGAGAGAGACCAGAGAGAGACCGGAGAGACCAGAGAGAGACCAGAGAGAGAGACCAGAGAGAGACCAGAGAGAGACCGGAGAGACCAGAGAGAGACCGGAGAGAGACCAGAGAGAGACCGGAGAAAGAGACCGGAGAGACCAGAGAGAGACCAGAGAGAGAGACCGGAGAGACCAGAGAGAGACCAGAGAGAGAGACCGGAGAGACCAGAGAGAGAGACCAGAGAGAGAGACTAGAGAGAGACCTGAGAGAGACCAGAGAAAGAGACCGGAGAGACCAGAGAGAGACCAGAGAGAGACCGGAGAGACCAGAGAGAGAGACCGGAGAGACCAGAGAGAGAGACGTGAGAGAGACCAGAGAGAGACTAGAGAGACCAGAGAGAGAGACCAGAGAGAGAGACTAGAGAGAGACCTGAGAGAGACCAGAGAAAGAGACCGGAGAGACCAGAGAGAGACCGGAGAGACCAGAGAGAGAGACCGGAGAGACCAGAGAGAGAGACCGGAGAGACCAGAGAGAGAGACGTGAGAGAGACCAGAGAGAGACTAGAGAGACCAGGGAGAGAGACCAGAGAGAGACCAGGGAAAGACCAGAGAGAGACCAGAGAGAGACCAGAGAGAGACCAAAGAGAGACCAGAGAGAGACCAAAGAGAGACCAGAGAGAGACCAGAGAGAGACCAAAAAAGGACAAGAGAGAGACCAGAGAGAGAGACTAGAGAGACCAGAGAGAGAGACCAGAGAGAAACAAGAGAGAGACCAAAGAGAGACCAGAGAGAGACCAGAGAGAGACCAAAAAAGGACAAGAGAGAGACCGGAGAGACCAGAGAGAGAGACTAGAGAGAAACAAGAGGGAGACTAGAGCGAGACCAGTGAGAGAGACCAGGAGAGCAGAGAGAAACTGCTATGTTCATGACACACTGGTTTGTTGTAGCAATACGAGTTTGAAAGAGGAGCATTTAGAGTTTGTGTTTTTGACGAGGGGACAATCTTATAACACAGTTAAAAAGATAATTGTTCCTTAATTTATTTGTCAGAAACAGGACAGATTCCAGGTCTAAACCATGAACGACACTCGAGCCACATCTGGTCCATGATTATAGGATACGGAGCTTTACAGTCCTGGATGTGGTTCTGACTCTACACAGTCTGAGAATGTGGCCTTTCAGAGAGACCAGAGAGAGACCAGAGAGAGACCAGAGAGAGACCAGAGAGAGACCAGAGAGAGACCAGAGAGAGACCAGAGAGAGACCAGAGAGAGACCAGAGAGAGACCAGAGAGAGACCTGTGAGAGAGACCTGTGAGAGAGAGACCAGAGAGAGACTAGAGAGAGACCAGAGAGAGACCAGAGAGAGACCTGTGAGAGAGAGACCAGAGAGAGACCAGAGAGAGACCAGAGAAAGACCAGAGAGAGACCAGAGAGAGACCAGAGAAAGACCAGAGAGAGACCAGAGAGAGACCTGTGAGAGAGAGACCAGAGAGAGACCAGAGAGAGACCAGAGAGAGACCAGAGAGAGACCAGAGAGAGACCAGCGAGAGACCAGAGAGAGACCAGAGAGAGACCAGAGAGAGACCTGTGAGAGACCAGAGAGAGACCTGTGAGAGACCAGAGAGAGACCTGTGAGAGACCAGAGAGAGACCTGTGAGAGACCAGAGAGAGACCTGTGAGAGACCAGAGAGAGACCTGTGAGAGACCAGAGAGAGACCTGAGAGAGAGACCAGCGAGAGACCAGAGAGAGACCAGAGAGAGACCTGAGAGAGACCAGAGCGAGACCTGAGAGAGACCTGAGAGTGATGCTAGAGCTTTGTCTGCAGTTGCTGCTCCCTCCCCTCACTGAGAACCAAACCTGAGACACATAACTTCTCTGTTTAAAGAAGGAGGAGTCGCGACGCCTGAAACAAGTCACAGAGACTTCAGATCCAAGCTTCAAGTCAATACAGAAACTTAAATACTGATCCACATGGTGTCGGAAACCAGGGGTTCATAGTACATCTGTCACATGGTGAAATGAAAAAAGGAACCCAAAACATTCACTGAAAATAATTTGTAATTTTTTAAAATCCAAATCCAGGGAAACAATAAAACACACACCTCCAGAACTGGAAACAAGCGAGGAACAAACGACGGACACACAGGGTTTAGACACACACATGGTATTAACACACACATGGTATTAACACACACACATGGTATTAACACACACAGGGTTTAGACACGCACATGGTATTAACACACACATGGTATTAACACACACAGGGTTTAGACACACACATGGTATTAACACACACATGGTATTAACGCACACATGGTATTAACACACACAGGGTTTAGACACACACATGGTATTAACACACACATGGTATTAACACACACATGGTATTAACGCACACATGGTATTAACACACACAGGGTTTAGACACACACATGGTATTAACACACACATGGTATTAACGCACACATGGTATTAACACACACAGGGTTTAGACACACACATGGTATTAACACACACAGGGTTTAGACACACACATGGTATTAACACACACAGGGTTTAGACACACACATGGTATTAACACACACATGGTATTAACACACACAGGGTTTAGACACACACATGGTATTAACACACACATGGTATTAACACACACAGGGTTTAGACACACACATGGTATTAACACACACATGGTATTAACACACACAGGGTTTAGACACACACATGGTATTAACACACACATGGTATTAACACACACAGGGTTTAGACACACACATGGTATTAACACACACATGGTATTAACACACACAGGGTTTAGACACACACATGGTATTAACACACACAGGGTTTAGACACACACATGGTATTGTGTGACTGGTTCCTGTGCTCCTATATGCATCTGCTTGTCTTGTCTCAGTCGTTTCCACGGTTACAAGAAGCCAACATCAGAACAAAAGGTCCTCATCTCGATCGATGCTTTTAGATCAATTCACTTTTGATCCAAAAGTGATAAACGTGAATTAAATTAGGATCAGGACAATCTCAATGACATGGTGAGGACCAGGTGAGGACATGGTGAGGACATGGTGAGGACATGGTGAGGACATGGTGAGGACATGGTGAGGACCAGGTGAGGACATGGTGAGGACATGGTGAGGACCAGGTGAGGACATGGTGAGGACATGGTGAGGACATGGTGAGGACATGGTGAGGACATGGTGAGGACCAGGTGAGGACATGGTGAGGACATGGTGAGGACATGGTGAGGACATGGTGAGGACATGGTGAGGACCAGGTGAGGACCAGGAGAGGACATGGTGAGGACATGGTGAGGACATGGTGAGGACCAGGTGAGGACATGGTGAGGACATGATGAGGACATGGTGAGGACATGGTGAGGACCAGGTGAGGACATGGTGAGGACATGGTGAGGACCTGGTGAGGACATGGTGAGGACATGGTGAGGACATGGTGAGGACCAGGTGAGGACATGGTGAGGACCAGGTGAGGACATGGTGAGGACATGGTGAGGACCAGGTGAGGACATGGTGAGCACATGGTGAGGACATGGTGAGGACCAGGTGAGGACATGGTGAGGACCAGGTGAGGACCAGGTGAGGACATGGTGAGGACATGGTGAGGACATGGTGAGAGGGACCAGAGAGACAGACCAGATAGAGATAGAGAGAGACCAGAGAGAGACAAGAGAGGGACTAGAGAGAGACCAGAGAGAGACCAGAGAGACCAGAGAGAGACCAGAGAGGGACTAGAGAGAGACCAGAGAGAGACCAGATAGAGAGAGAGAGAGACCAGAGAGACCAGAGAGAGACCAGAGAGAGACCAGAGAGAGACCAGAGATACTAGACCAGAGAGAGACCAGAGAGAGAGAGAGACCAGAGAGACGGACCAGAGAGAGAGAAATGTATTATGAAATGTGTATGTTTTTTGTGTATTATGGAGAGGTGTGCAAATCAGAGACTCAAAGTGCAGCAGTACACGGCGCTCACATGGGAACACTTAACCCCTCTCTCTCTTTTTCTCTCTCTCTCTCTCTCTCTTTCTCTCTTTCTCTCTCTCTCTCTCAAAAACATACAAAAACGACTGATTAGAACCACATTTAGTCTGGCCTTGCACGCACTCAAAACATGCCCAAAAAACTGTAAGCGGAGCACGCACACAACCGGCAGAAAGAAAGAAGGAGACAGGGGAAACATGCATCCACTAATAGGACGTTCAGGACCATTAGAGCCGGCTGGACCAGAGGGGGTCAACCATCACACACCAGAGAGGGACGTAGGCAAGAAGCAAATCACACGCAAGAATATATGCTAGGAACCATAGAGAGAGACCAGAGAGAGACCAGAGAGAGACCAGAGAAAGACCAGAGAGAGAGACCAGAGAGAGACCAGAGAGACCAGAGAGAGATCAGAGAGAGAGACCAGAGAGAGACCAGAGAGAGAGACCAGAGAGAGACCAGAGAGAGACCAGAGAGAGATGAGAGAGAGACCAGAGAGACCAGAGAGAGGCCAGAGAGAGACCAGAGAGAGACCAGAGAGAGATGAGAGAGAGACCAGAGAGACCAAAAAGAGGCCAGAGAGAGACTAGAGAGAGACCAGAGAGAGAGACCAGAGAGAGACCAGAGAGAGAACAAAGAGAGACCAGAGAGAGAGACCAGAGAGAGACCAGAGAGAGAACAGAGAGAGACCAGAGAGAGACCAAAGAGAGACCAGAGAGAGACCAGAGAGAGAGACCAGAGAGAGACCAGAGAGACCAGAGAGAGAGAGACCAGAGAGAGACCAGAGAGAGAGACCAGAGAGAGACCGGAGAGAGATGAGAGAGAGACCAGAGAGACCAGAGAGAGGCCAGAGAGAGACCAGAGAGAGATGAGAGAGAGACCAGAGAGAGACCAGAGAGAGAGACCAGAGAGAGACCAGAGAGAGATGAGAGAGAGACCAGAGAGAGACCAGAGAGAGGCCAGAGAGAGACCAAAAAGAGGCCAGAGAGAGACTAGAGAGAGAGACGAGAGAGAGAGACCAGAGAGAGAGAGACCAGAGAGAGACCAGAGAGAGAACAAAGAGAGACCAGAGAGAGAGAGACCAGAGAGAGACCAGAGAGAGAACAGAGAGAGACCAGAGAGAGACCAAAGAGAGACCAGAGAGAGACCAGAGAGAGAGACCAGAGAGAGACCAGAGAGACCAGAGAGAGAGAGACCAGAGAGAGACCAGAGAGAGAGACCAGAGAGAGACCGGAGAGAGATGAGAGAGAGACCAGAGAGACCAGAGAGAGGCCAGAGAGAGACCAGAGAGAGATGAGAGAGAGACCAGAGAGAGACCAGAGAGAGAGACCAGAGAGAGACCAGAGAGAGATGAGAGAGAGACCAGAGAGAGACCAGAGAGAGGCCAGAGAGAGACCAAAAAGAGGCCAGAGAGAGACTAGAGAGAGACCAGAGAGAGAGACCAGAGAGAGAGAGACCAGAGAGAGAATAGAGAGACCAGAGAGAGAGGCCAGAGAGAGAGACCAGAGAGAGACCAGAGAGATACCATAACTGAGACCAGCTGAATAGACAAGAGTTTTGTCAACAACAAATCTATAACCAACACCTTTTTCACAAAGATAGAAATCCTGGTTTTATTCCTTGTTTTGTCGTTAATGATTTGAGAATCATAACGAGACCTTTTTTAGTTCTGCGCCACATGGTACTTTACCAGTGAGATTAGATCCACGCGGTGAGTTCTGGCGCCCGGATCACAGACTTTCTGATTGGTGAAACGGTGGAGGGCGGGACATCGAAATGAAAACAATAACAAGATTTAGAGGCTGGAAAAGTAATTTAGAAATTCAAATATCTCTGAACTACTGTTATAAGTTAAAGAAGTTTATTATTATGACAGATTAGGGCCCTTTAATGATGGCAGATTAGGGCCCTTTAATGATGGCAGATTAGGGCCTTTTAATGATGACAGATTAGGGCCCTTTAATGACGACTGATTAGGGCCCTTTAATGACGACTGATTACTGCCCTTTAATGACAACAGATTAGGGCCCTTTAATGACGACAGATTAGGGCCCTTTAATGACGACAGATTAGGGCCCTTTAATGATGACAGATTAGGGCCCTTTAATGACGACTGATTAGGGCCCTTTAATGACGACTGATTACTGCCCTTTAATGACAACAGATTAGGGCCCTTTAATGACGACAGATTAGGGCCCTTTAATGATGACAGATTAGGGCCCTTTAATGACGACAGATTAGGGCCCTTTAATGACGACAGATTAGGGCCCTTTAATGATGACAGATTAGGGGCCTTTAATGATGACAGATTAGGGCCCTTTAATGATGACAGATTAGGGCCCTTTAATGATGACAGATTAGGGCCCTTTAATTATTACAGATTAGAGCCCTTTAATTATGACCAATTAGGGCCCTTTAACGATGACAGGTTAGGGCCCTTTAACGATGACAGATTAGGGCCCTTTAACGATGACATATTAGGGCCCTTTAACGATGACAGATTAGGGCCCTTTAATGACAACAGAATAGGGCCCTTTAATGACGACAGATTAGGGCCCTTTAATGATGACAGATTAGGGCCCTTTAATGATGACAGATTAGGGCCCTTTAATGATGACAGATTAGGGCCCTTTAATTATGACAGATTAGGGCCCTTTAATGATGACAGATTAGGGCACTTTAATGACAGATTAGGGCCCTTTAATGATGACAGATTAAAGCTGCACTAACTGACTTTGGGATTTTGAAGCCGC